AGGAGGCGGTGTTGACTTCATCTCCCAGAATTCCTCAGCCAGCATGGCCACTGAGCAGAATTCTGGGAATTGAAGTTCATCTATCTGGAAGCTGCTCAGATCAGAAAAAATATTGATTTAAACTGGAGACAAGAATATTGATTGTGGAGAACAAAAGGAAGAATCAATATGGCGAAGGTCCTGGACTGACCCCAGAGAGTCCCAAATTCTAATCTTCCATCAGCCACAGATGTTCCATGCGGTGGTTTGAGCCAATCTTTCTCTCTCAGCTCAACCTACCTCACAGGGCTGTTGTGCCGAAGAATAAAAAGAGGGAACACTGTGCTGAGCACCTGAATGAAAACGAAGGATATAAATTAAATCAATAACTATCGGCAATGAATTGGTCCCATGATGTTTCTTTCTTTCTTGGACAGTTTAATTGATTTCCTATTCTGTTCAACTGACCTAATGGGGTAATAATAATAATAATAATAATAATAATAATAATAATAATAATAACAACAACAACAACAACAACAACAACAACAACAACAACAACAACAACAAAGTTGGAAGGGATCTTGGAGTTCATCCAGTCCAAGCCATGCTCAGGCAGGAAACCCTATACCATTTCAGACAAATGGCTGTCCAGTCTCTGCTTAAAAACTTCCAGTGTTGGAGCATTCACCACTTCTGGAGGCAGGTTGTTCCACTGGTTAATTGTTCTAACTGTCAGGAAATTTCTCCTTAATTCTAGGTTGCTTCTCTCTTTGATTAGTTTCCATCCATTGCTTCTTGTCCTGCCTTCAGGTGATTTGGAGAATAGCTTGACTCCCTTTTCTTTGTGGCAGCCTCTCAAATATTGGAACACTGCTATCATGTCCCCCCTTGTCCTTCTCTTCATTAGACTATCTAGTCCAACCCCCTTGCTCAAGCAGAAGACCCTATACCATTCCAGACAAATGACTGTCCAATCCCGTCTTATAAACCTCCAATGATGGAGCACCCACAACTTCTGGAGGGAAGCCATTCCACTGATTAATTGTTCTCATTGTCAGGAAATTCCTCCTTAATTCTAGGTTGCTTCTCTCCTTGATTAGTTTCCATCCGTTGCTTCTTGTCCTGCCTTCTGGTGCTTTGGAGAATAGGTTGTCCCCCTCTTCTCAGTGGCAGCCCCTCAGACTGTTATCATGTCACCACTAGACCTTCACTAGAGTAGACCCACCCAGTTCCTGCAACTGTCCTTCATATGTTTTAGCCTCCAGTCCCCTAATCATCTTTCTTGTTCTTCTCTGCACTCTTTCTAGAGTCTCAGTATCTTTTTTATATCATTGTGACCAAAACTGGACGCAGTATTCGAAGTGTGGCCTTACCATGGCATTATAAAGCAGAACTAATACAGTTTGTCTGGCTTGGCTTCTTCTACCTAAATAAAAAACGTGCAGGTTGAATGGTGCTTTATGCAGTTTCGTGGTGCTTTCAGATCCCTCTGCCCCATTCATGGAACGAAGAAGAGAGATCTTCAATCCAAGATCTTCCCTTCTCTCCTATAAAGTCTATCCCAGTGGTGGCGAACCTATGGCACGCATGCCAGAGGCGGCACTCAGAGCCCTCTCTGTGGGCACGCGCGCCATGCCCCGGAGATGGCAACCGTCCCTCTTCAACCAGCCGCCCGCTAACTCGCCGAGGTCCCACATGGCTGGATGCATCCCAGCATGGCTGGTTTCCCTCCCCCCCCATCCCATCTCTTCTGGCCTCGCATGCTCTCCTTTTCCTGGGCACGACCCACTGCATCTATGCTTCTCTGAACTGTTGGTGGCGGGTTGTGGGGCACCAGAGTGCGCCAGTCGAGGGGCTGGCAGGCTGTGGCGGCTGACGGACACCGTCGGCCCCCATGTGCTCACTGGCCTCTGTGTGCCAATGGTGTCAGGCACCAGCTTCCCCAGCCCCTGCCCCGCCTTGCCCTGTGACAATGGCATCCCTGCCCTGCCTCACCTTGCCTTGCCTCCCCCTGCAGGACAGGCCTCCTGCCCACTGCCCCACCTGCCAGAGACCCCCTGGATCTCCCCCAACCCTGCCCGGCCCCCACAGGCATCCCTCCCCACGAGCAACATCGAGGTGACCACGCCCACCTTGGCCACACCCACCCAGTCTACCATGACCACCACAGCCACACCCACCCAGTGGGCCACACCCATCTGGCACCCGGCGATAAATAAGTGGGTTTTGGGTTGCAGTTTGGGCACTCGGTCTCTTAAAGGTTCGCCATCACTGGTCTATCCTTCTTCCAGCTGGAGATAATAATAATAATAATAATAATAATAATAATAATAATAATAATAATAATAATAATAATAATAATAATAATAATAATAATAATAATAATAATAATAATAATAATAATAATAATAATAAAGTTGGAAGGGACCTTGGAGGTCATCGAGTCCAACCCCCTGCCCAGGCAGGAACCCTACACCATTTCAGACAAACGGCTGTCCAGTCTCTTCTTAAAAACTTCCAGTGTTGGAGCATTCACCACTTCTGGAGGTAGGTTGTTCCATTGGTTAATTGTTCTAACTGTCAGGAAGTTTCTCCTTAGTTCTAAGTTGCTTCTCTCCTTGATCAGTTTCCACCCGTTGCTTCTCGTCCTGCCTTCAGATCTGATGGGGCTTCCAACCCTCTTTGATGTCTTACTCCATCACCTTCACTCCTGGGAAAGCTTTTACCATTTTCTGTTGATGGACCAGGTGGAAGAAGATCACAGAGGTGTGAATCACTTGCTATGGATCTTCTGACATACCTTCATGAATTCAGGGAATCCATGATGCAACCCTTAATGCAAGGAGGAGTCCATTCCCAGGAGTTTTAGTCTCCCTAATATGCAAAGAGGTTTTAGAACATTGAATGGTTGTTGTTTTTTATGGGCCTGAAACCAAGAAGAACAAGAGGCAGATCAAACTGGAGGTGGCAATTTTCTCAGATATCAAAGCAGGAGATTGCATAAAATTTGCAGAAGCCACATGCTACATTACAGAATAGCAGAATTGGAAGGGACTTTGGAGGTCTTCTGGTCCAAGCAGGAAACCCTTGGACTACTGAGACTTAATAAACTCTGTTTTATCAATAATAATACCAGGGTGCTATAGCTTCATTACAACAAAACAGAATAACAGAGTTGGAAGGGACCTTGGAGGTCTTCTAGTCCAACCTCCTGCTCAAGCAGGAGATCCTCTACCACTTCAGACAAATAGTTGTCCAATCTCTTCTTGAAAAGCCGGAGACCGTATATCATTTCAGACAAATGGCTCTCCAGTCTCTTCTTAAAAACCTCCAGTGTTGGAGCACCCACAACTTCTGGAGGCTGGTTGTTCCACTGGTTAATTGTCCTCACTCTCAGGAAATACCTCCTTAGTTCTAGGTTGCTTCTCTCCTTGATTAGTTTCCAGCCATTGCTTCTTGTCCTGCCCTCAGGGGCTTTGGAAAAAAGATTGACCCCCTCTTCTTTATGGCAGTCCCTCAAATATTGGAAGACTACTGTCATGTCACCCCTCGTCCTTGTCTTCATTAGAGTAGACATTCCTAGTTCCTGCAGCTGTTCATTGTACTGTTTAGCCTCCAGAACTCTTATCTGTGTTGCTCTTCTCTGCAATCTTTCTAGAGTCTCAACGTCTTTTTTTATATCGGGGCAACGAGAATTGCATACAGAATACTAAGCGTGGTCTTACCAGTACAGTATAAAGCGGTACTAATCCTTCACCTGATCTAGATACTATTCCCACTTGGGAATGATGGTCAGGCTAAACCAGAATCTACTTTGCAATTTCTTTGGTTGGGTATCTGCTTTTTTTTTTAAAGGCAAGATAAACATAGAATCATAGGGCTGGAAGCCCCCTACCGAAGGCAAGAGTTCTTATACCAGTGGTGGCAAACCTATGGCACACATGCCAGAGGCGGCACTCAGAGCCCTCTCTGTGGGCACGCATGCCGTCGCCCCAGTCCTAGGCCTTCAGCTGGGTTTTATAAAACCTTTTCGCTTTAGGCCTCTGCCGCCGTGTGCAAAAAAAAAAAAAAGGTTCAATCAATCAGTCAATTTTAACTTCTTGCGGGGGAAAAAAGATCTTGCAAAGTTGGAATTGATTGATTGAACTTTTTAGTCCCACCCAGTCTGCAGTTACCACCGCAGCCACGCCCACCCAATGGGCCACACCCAGCCAATGGCCACATCCAGCCAATGGCCACACCCACCCGGCACCCGACGATGCATAGGTGGGTTTTGAGTTGCAGTTTGGGCACTCAGTCTCTAAAAGGTTCGCCATCACTGTCTTATACCATCCCCGTCAAATGGTTGTCCAAGCTATTCTTGAAAATCTCCAGCGATGATGCATCCACAACTCCAGGAGGCAAGCTATTCCACTGATAAATTTTTCTCAGTGCTTCGCCTTTGTCCTTCTGGGGAGTCATGGCTGCCATCTTGCCCATTGGGACCCTCTCTTTGTGAAGATGGAGGAAAATTATTCTCTTTTTACTATTCTGGATGCAGGCAGTTGCTCTGGCCATAATCCAGATAGAATAACTCGATGAAATGGTAACATGCAGAATATTTATTCTTCAGGAATCTCAAAACAATAACTCACCATTAATGAAGAGTTCTTGTCGAGCCCTGCGAGGCCAACACGCCCACCGGCAACCGAGCCTCCGCCGCCCGCATCAATTACCCTGCCGGCTGTGTGAGAATGCCGTCAGCCATCCCGACCTTCTTCCTGGCCGCACTGCTCCGCTAGGGCTCCGAACGCACCACTCGCAGCAGGGGGAAGAGGGCGACGGGCGCTGCGGTGTGACGTCATCCCCCTGCACCTCGCAGAGCCGACAACGAGTGAAGAGGAGGTGGTGGGATATACAGAATTGTATATCCCACCACCGATGCGTAGTCAGGTGTTTCACCGGTGCCACGACTTGAAGCAAGCAGGCCACTTCGGATTTTTGAAAACATTACATCTGGCCCGTCGGCAGTTTTGGTGGCCTCGGATGCAGGCTGATGTAGAAACCTACGTGAAAGGATGTCCGGTTTGTGCCATGTCCAAGCCCAGTCCCGGGAAACCCATGGGGTTGTTGCAACCGGTGGCTGACCCACACCACCCATGGCAAGACATAGCCATGGACTTTATTGTAGAACTGCCCAACAGTCGGGGCTATTCGGTAATTTGGACTGTGGTAGACCTGTTCTCTAAACAGGCCCACTTCGTGCCCTGCAAGGGACTACCATCGGCTCGGAGGCTGGCCCGTATGTTCCTGTCACACGTTTATCGGATCCATGGGGCTCTGTGTCGGATCATCTCGGACCACGGGGTGCAGTTCACAGCCCACTTCTGGCACAACTTCATACGCCTCTTAGGGTCCTCCCAGGGACTTAGCTCGGCGTACCACCCGAGTACAAATGGAGCATCAGAACGGGCAAACGCAGCGGTGGAGCGTTACCTTCGGAGCTATGTCTCGTATCAACAAACAGACTTGGTGGAGTGGGTGGTGTTCGTGGAGGTGGCGTATAATAACGCTGTACACAGTAGTACAGGCTTCACGCCTTTCCGGGTGGTTTCTGGCAGGGAGTTTGTGCCCATGCCAGAATATAATGAGCAGGGATCCCCACCCTGTCAACCTGGGGAATGGTTAGCCCGCGTTAGTGAAGTATGGGTTATGGTTAGGAAGGCCTTGGAAAAGGCAAGACAGACAGCCAAAACACAGGCTGATAAGAAGAGGAGAGTCCATAAGCCATTCAGTGTGGGGGACCTGGTATACCTTTCCACTAAGTACATACGACTCTAGGTCCCTTGTCATAAGCTGGCCCCAAAGTACATAGGGCCGTTCCAGATAGCCCAAGTGATTAACCCAGTGACTGTACGTCTCAGGCTCCCACAGTTTCTGGGCAGGGTACATCCGGTATTTCATAGTAGCTTGTTGAAACCGGTGGCCCATGACCGCTCTGAGGAAGCCCCAGGTCTCGTAACGCCCGACCACTATGAGGTGCAGGAAATCCTAGACTCACGGGAAAGGAAGAGTGGAGTAGATTACCTGGTCTTATGGAAAGGGTATCCTCTGTCGGAAGCATCTTGGGTGAAGGACAAGGAAGTGCATGCTCCCCGTCTACTTAGGGAGTTTCATCGCAAACATCCAAACAAGCCGAAGGGGCAAACGGGGGGCGCACCTGTACAGGGATAAGACCATTAACCCCACTATGCTTGCTTTCCAGGGGGACCTCTGGTAGGGGGAGCGGCATGTCGAGCCCTGTGAGGCCGACACGCCCGCCGGCAACCGAACCGCCGCCAGCTGCATCAATTACGCTGCCGGCTGTGTGAGAATGCCGCCAGCCATCCCGACCTTCTTCCTGGCCGCACCGCTCCGCTAGGGCTCTGAACGGACCACTCGCAGCAGGGGGAAGAGGGCGACGGGCGCCACGGTGTGACGTCATCCCCCTGCGCCTCGCAGAGCTGACAATGAGCAAAGAGGAGTGGACGCTAATGAGGGGAAACGCCTAGAGCCGCGGAAGGGAGGAAAAGGGAACGCCGATGAGGGGAAATGCCTAGAGCCACGGAAGGGGGAAAGGGGAACGTTAGTGATTGGCCAGAATAAGGGCGGGGCGGCAAGGACTGGGCTGGAGCCAGGTGAGACTGGCCGGATGCTGGCTTGAGGGGCGGGGCAGTAATAGCATGGGTGGGGCAGGCGCGGCCCTTATGTAAACGCACTGGGAGAGGTGATCCTCAGTGCTGACTTTGATTCAAAATGGAGCAAAATAAACAACCGTTTGTCTATTGTACCTGCTTGCTGGCTGTTGTAAGGAGTACCAAGACAGGACGCATTGACAGTTCTTCTGAGGCACGTTTCATATTCTGTCCATTTATGCAGGTACAAAGAGAATAATTTTCCTCCATCTTCACAAAGCTTACATGCTGCTACGGAGCTCCTAGGACCTAGCCTCATGGCTAGGATTCATGGAGAGAGATAATAAAACTGGCACGTAACAGGATGTCCCATAATAAAGATACAAGACCCTCCCAGTGGCCAATTAGAACACAGATATAACCATGTTACAACTAAACTACATTTCCCAGAAGGCCACCCTTAAGAGGGCAACACTTTAATCCTTAAAATGCTACTTGCTCTACACACAGTTTTCTAAGCTAGCTATATACTCTGACCAGATGGCTACATATTGGTCCAGCACATATAGCGACTTTGGATCTGGAAGGGATAGGAAAACCAGTTGTGGGGAGAAGTTGCTGGAAACAGCAAAGGGAAACTGTAATAACCACAGCAGTTTGAAGAGTGAGAAAGTTGGAAGAACAAAAATTCAGCCCTCGCTAAAGATGTTCTTTCTTTCCAGCACATGTCAAGACACCTTTACTAACCGAAAGCTTTAAACAAGACCGATCCTGCAGGGAACTAAAACAAAAGAAAGGCTAATTGTTTTAGTGAGGTTTGAAACTAGACACCTATCTTTTTCTTTTGATGAAGGAGACTTGCTTAATTCTTTCCATGCCTGTAATTGCTCCATTGGAATATGCCTCCTCGCTTTGTTCTGATTTTTTTCCCCCTATTTGTTGAAGGGGGAGATAAAAGGCCATTTCTTCACTATTGTTTTATAGCATCTTGTAACTTTAACCCACCAAAGCTAGTGGACATTTCCTAGCTGATCTTGGCTAAACAGAACAGAACAGACCTGGAAGGGACCTTGGAGGTCTTCTAGTCTGTTCTCTGTTCAAGCAGGAAATGCTACACTATTTCAGACCAATGGTTGTCCGACCTCTTCTCAAAAACCTCCAGTGATGGAGCACCCACAACTTCTGAAGGCAAGCCGTTCCACTGATTAATTGTTCCTTTTCTTCTTAATTCTAGGTTGCTTCTCTCCTTGATCTCCATCGTTTCTTGTCTTGCCTTCTGGTGCTTTGGAAAATAAGTTGACCCCGTCTTTGTGACAGCCTTCAAATACTGGAACACTGCTATCATGTCACCCCTAATCCTCCTTTTCTCTAGACTAGCCATACCCAACTCCTGCAATCATTCATATGTTGTAGCCTCCAGTCCTCTAATCATCTTTCTTGCTCTTCTCTGCACTCTTTCCAAAGTCTCAACATCTTTTTTATAATGTGGTGACTGAAACTGGATGCAGTATTCCAAGTGTGGTCTTACTTTGTTGTTGTTGTTAATTGCGAAGTCGTGTCCGACCCATCGCGACCCCATGGACAACGTTCCTCCAGGTCTTCCTGTCCTCTACCATCTTCTGGAGTCCATTTAAGTTCACGCCTACTGCTTCAGTGACTCCATCCAGCCACCTCATTCTCTGTCGTCCCCTTCTGCTTTATAAAGTGATACTATTACTTCACGTGAGCTTGATTCTATCCCCGTTAATGAAACCTAGGATTTGCAATGGCCTTTTTGGCTGCTGCCACACACTGCTGGCTTATAATTAAGTTATTGTCCACTAGGACTCCAAGATTCCTCTCACAGTTACTACTATTGAGCCAGGTACACCTATACTATACCTGTACATTTGAATTAGTGTAGCCACATCTACCTAGGGTTTGGGTGGGAGATCACCAAAGCAATTCTAAGACTGCAGGTAAGATGTGTCCATGAAAGTCACTAAGAGTCAGATCTGACAGTCTTTAGCCTTTTATAACAACAGCCAACCTCTGCTGTGATATTGTAACTACAAGATAAAATCTGAGATTGAATAATGCTGCTTCTTCTTTTAGCTAACTTCTTCCCTCAAGACGACACTATAAGGCACTGCATGCCAAAACAACTGGACACAAGGACAGTTTTTTCCCCCATGCCATCTCTCTGCTAAACAACTAATTCCCCCAAACACTTCAAATGACCTACTAGGGCTGTATTACTATTATTCTTCTCACCTTTCCTATTATCTATTTCTTTATCTTTTTAGGACTATAACTTTGTTGCTCGTATGTTATGATTTATATTGTTTTATTTAGTATCCTAGTACGATTTATGTTGATTTAGTATCCTGTGACTATCACTAAGTGCTGTATCTTATGATTTATGATGAATGTATTTTACTATGATTATGATCATGATTTATCCCTTGTTGCTTGTATGTACAGTGAGAGCTTACGCACTGGAGACAAATTCCTTGTGTGTCCAATCACACCTGGCCAATAAAGAATTCTATTCTATTCTATTCTATTCTATTCTATTCTATTCTATTCTATTCTATTCTACTCTACTCTACTCTACTCTACTCTATTCTAATTTCTATTCTATTCTTATTTCTATTCTATTCTATTCTTATTTCTATTCTATTCTATTCTATTCTATTCTATTCTATTTTATTCTATTCTTATTTCTATTCTATTCTTATTTCTATTCTATTCTACTCTATTCTACTCTACTCTATTCTAATTTCTATTCTATTCTTATTTCTATTCTATTCTATTCTATTCTATTCTATTCTATTCTATTCTATTCTATTCTATTCTATTCTATATTCTATTCTATATTCTATATTCTCTACTCCACTCCACTCCACTCCACTCCACTCTACTCTACTCTACTCTACTCTACTCTACTCTACTCTACTCTACTCTACTCTACTCTACTCTACTCTATTCTACTCTATTCTATTCTATTCCCTATTCCCTATTCCCTATCTCCATCTCCATCTCCATCTCCATCTCCATCTCCATCTCCATCTCCATCTCTATCTCTATCTCTATCTCTATCTCCATCTCTATCTCTATCTCTATCTCTATCTCTATTATGTGAATCATACTTAATGCCAATAAAGGAGAATCGCTGTAGCTCAGGGTTGAAATGAGGGGTCCTTGGTGCTCTCTGAGCTTGGTGGCTTTCTTGCAGACATTTCACGACCTATACTAGGTAACATCCTAAACGCACTGATGATGTTACCTAGTTTCAATAATGAAACATTTACAAGAAAACCACCAAGCTCAGAGAGCACCAAGCATCCCTCATCTTCTTGACGGGCAGAAAAACAACAACATTGTAAATAAGAAATTGCTGTACCTTTTTAATTACAGCCATCCAATTCATCATTGTTAAAATATGGAAATATCTGGAGAAAGTCTCAGGGAGATGGTATGAGCAGAACTGATCTTTTCCTGAACTTGAAAATGCCCCTGATTAAAATCCAGTGCGTGGCAAGCCAAAACAATGACTCACCGTTTTGCAAGAGAGGATGGAATTTCATTGTTTATGTAAAGGATAAGCATGCGGGGAAACATCATGTCTCAAACATCACGGGCATGTTCCAGTGTACCAGCACTATGTAAATATTTTTAAACAAAACTCAAGCAAACATTTTTTAAAAAAAAAAATTGGAACAACCGAAAACACTTTTGGGGTGCCCTGAACATGACTTAGGCCAGGGGTAGGCAAGCTTGGCTCTTTTATGACTTGTGGACTTCAACTCCCAGAATTCCTGAGCCAGCCACGCTGAGGGGAAAGGGAGAGGTTTCCATGCTGAGCCAGGCTGGCTCAGGAATTCTGGGAGTTGAAGTCCACAAGTCATGAAGGGGCCATAGTTCCCCCATGCTGGCTCAGGAATTCTGGGAGTTGAAGTCCACGAGTCATAAAAGGGCCAAGTTTGAAGACCCCTGGTTTAAATATTTAAATATTTTTTCCTCACGGTCACGTGATCAAAATTCAGGCATTTGGGCAGAGGTCGGCAACTTTGGCTCTTTTATGACTCGTGGACTTCAACTCCCAGAATTCCTGAGCCAGCCATGCTGAGGGGAAAGGGAGAGGTTTCCAAGCTGAGCCATGCTGGCTCAGAGAATTCTGGGAGTTGAAGTCCACGAGTCATAAAAGAGCCAAGGTTGCCTACCCCTGACTTAGGCGTTTGAAATGTTTTTTTTTTATTTCTTTATTACTTGTACTGAAGACAACTGAGAGGTTGGCTTATGGTTTAATCCGCTCTCATCTCTTTTCTTCTCAGTTGGTACATAAGTGGAATCACAAGAAATAAAGCCAACCAGCTACTTCTCTCTCCCCCAAATCATCATGGCTCCTTCCTTATTCGGGACAGCGAGAGTAACAAGGGAGAATACTCTCTGTCAGGTAAACTACATCTTACTCTTCCTGCCACAGGTAGACCTCTATCATACTTGACCACCAAGGCCAGGGGTCTTCAAGCTTGGCCCTTTTATGACTTGTGGACTTCAACTCCCAGAATCCCTTAGCCAGTGTGCCTGGCTGAGGAATTCTGGGAGTTGAAGTCCACAAGTCATAAAAGGGCCAAGCTTGAAGGCCCCTGACCAAGGTGAATCATTTTTAGGATTAATTGGATTTGGCCTTCCAAGCTGAAGATCAAGCTGGATTTTTCTCTCCCTTTCACTTGCCAGCAACTACGCAGAAATGTTCACATGGTCAACCAAGTCAAGATGGTGATTGTGATAGTAATCACAGCAAACCAGGGTCCAAAAAATCACAATGTTGGCGCTGATAATACCGTACAAACGAAGTTCTTTAACACCGCATAAAAACAGGTAGATCTTCACATCATCCTGGACACCGGCTTGGCAAACATCTTTGCTTGCCAGACCCTAAAATTGAATGCTGGCTCTAAAACTCAGTCGGTAGAAGAGACGTTGAGCTATGGGGTCCCTGGTGCTCTCTGAGCTTTGGTGGGTTTTTTTGCAAATGTTTCATTACCCAACTAGGGAACATCATCAGTGCTAGAAAGGAGAGAGGAGGAGGAGGAGGAGGAGGAGGACTGTGGGGTCCTTGCTTCTTCCAGAGCTTCGTGGTTTTCTTGCAGACATTTCATTACCCAACTAGGGAACATCATCAGTGCTAGAAGGGAGTGGAGTTTGATCTCCAATTGGATAATGAACACATCTGCAAGAAAACAACCAAGCTCAGAGAGCACGAAGGACCCCACATTAAGAATTGTCTGGAGCTTTCTGCCTTGTGCAGAAATGGATTTCCCTTACTGTGCTTCAAATAGAGGCAGGGGAGGGGCTATCTTTAGGGATGGCTGGGGGATTCTGGGAGTTGGGGATCCAACTCCTCAACGTTTCCAAGGAAGAAAAAAACTGGGTTAATGTATTCTGCACTGAGTAGGGGAGATTAGACTGGATCAGGGGTCTTCAAACTCGGCCCTTTTATGACTCGTGGACTTCAACTCCCAGAATTCCTCAGCCAGCGGGCCTGGCTGAGGAATTCTGGGAGTTGAAGTCCACGAGTCATAAAAGGGCCGGGTTTGAAGACCCCTGGATTAGAAGGCCCTTGCGGAGCCAACACCATTCTCCCTAATTCTCAACAGTATCAAACACTGTAAAATTAATTTGTTTTCAGAGACAATCGGACTCTGGTGGATCTTCTGGTAGGCAATTCGGTGACTCCTTTTTGCAGGAGTTCCTGCTTCACCTGGCCTCCCACTCGTATCTCCTGGCAGCAGAAGCAGGTCTTCCAAGGGGAAAGGTGGCATGGTAGCTTTGTAGCTCTCTCCTCCCTCCCATAGAAACCACTGGGATGTTTTGCAGCCAGGCAAATAAACACCAGGTGAAATGAGGACGTACGAGTCGAGGTGGAGGCCGTCTCAAGTCCTTTATTTTGCTTTCCTTTAATGCAGAGTTTGGCCTTTTGTTAGGAGGTGATTGTTTGGCTAAAGCATTTGGATCAGTTACAGGCGGGGCAGCGATTTTCACTGCTCAGCATTTCTGATTAGCAAAAGCTAAGTGGATTGTGACTTGCAGCCAGGCAGCTTTTGAGGGATTGGGGAGTGGAAGGACAAAACGTGCGCAAATGAAAAAGTAGTTCTTGGAATGCAAATACTTGCTGTGTTTTGCACAACTCGGTTTAAAAGCCAACCCAGAATGTGTGGGATCCCTTCCTTCCTTCCTTCCTTCCTTCCTTCCTTCCTTCCTTCCTTCCTCAAGATCTTTCCTTCCTTCCTTCCTTCATCGATATTTCCTTCCTACCTTCATCAAGATCTTTCCTTCTTTCCTTCCTTCCTTCCTTCCAAGATTTTTTCTTCCTTCCTTCCTCAAGATCTTTCCTTCCTTCCTTCCTCAAGATCTTTCCTTCCTTTCTTCCTTCATCGATCTTTCCTTCCTTTCATCAAGATCCTTCCTTCCTTCCTTCATCAAGATCTTTCCTTCCTTCCTCCCTTCCTTCCTTCCTTCCTTCCTTCCTTCCTTTTCTTCCTTCCTTCAAGATCTTTCCTTCCTTCCTTCCTTCCTTTATCAATATCTTTCCTTCCTTCCTTCATCAAGATCTATCTTTCTTTCCTTCCTTCCCTCCTTCATCAATATCTTTCCTTCCTTCCTTCATCAAGATCCTTCCTTCCTTCCTTCCTTCCTTCCTTCCTTCCTTCCTTCCTTCCTCCCTCTCTTTCTTTCTTTCTTTCTTTCTTTCTTTCTTTCTTTCTTTCTTTCTTTCTTTCTTTCTTTCTTTCTTTCTTTCTTTCTTTCTTTCTTTCTTTCTTTTTCTTTCCTTCTTTCCAGCTCCTTGTACAAGTGGCCAGCTGGAAGAAAGGATGCAATTAATATCTATTAGGATTAAAGAAAAACAGGGTCTTAATTCAGTTGCTCACATGTTACAGCTAACAGGCGACTATATAATTCCTCTGGATATTGAGCAGTAAAGCAGGATGAATTGTTTGCTATGCAAGGAAACTCTAAGCACACTGAAAACAAATCTCTCCAATTTGCAACACAAAAGACATGAGTGTCTCCTCCACCTTAACCTGTGTGATAAATTCATTCCAGAAAATTTGGATTTAAAAAAAAGTTAATTACTAAGCGCACTCCAATTCCTTGTGTGTAATTACACTAAGTGTTGCAATAAACAAAGGTATTCTGCCTACACAAGTTGCACGCAGCAAAGGATGAACTAGCCCCAAGCCACACCAAGCCTTTGCACAATTAGGAGTGACTAACAATGGCAATAGACCGTCTCTCGAATTCTCATCCTTTCACAGCTGAGCGTGCTTGAGTTGTGGCGAGTGCAATTCCCCAGAATTCCAAGCCAGAAATTCCAACAGGTGCCAACGCAACACAGCTTGAGGGCATCTGCCTGGCATGGCTGAGCTAAACACAAGGAAACCTATTGATGACAGTTCTGGAATTCCCTGCCAAAATGTCATGAATGAAGGAATAGGCAGTGTCACCGCCTCAACCTCCATCTGTTCCTGTTTTTCCTAACCTAGATCAACATCCCTCGTGAAGGAAATCAAAGATTGCTGTATCTTCCAAAACATGCCGAGATTATTTTCAAGCATTTGTGCCCCAGAGGCATTTCTACCTTCTTAGTTCATCTCCTCAGGGAATCATGGGATATGTAGTTTCCCATCAAACATGTGCAACATCCTTATTCTTCTCTCCTTGTGGCTAGTGAGACCACCTTTGGTTTGGAATATTCTGGACAATTCTGGGCATATTTCCCGGAAATTGACAGATTGTTCAGAAGACAAATATGACTTGGAGACTTCTTATGAGGACAGGCTGGAGGAACTTGGTAGGGTCAGTCTGGAGAAATGAACACCCATTAGAGATATGATATCAGTGCTCAGATACGTGGAAAGGTGCCATAAGGAAGATGGTCAGGAATTATTTTTTTCCTGGTCACTGAAACCAGAAATCAGAAATAATGGATGTAAGTTGCAGGCACTTCGCTCAAATATAAGCAAAATAATTCCAGATGTCAGCAAGTCTTATCTACATGGTAGGTACTGTTGGAAGAAAAGTCTTCATCGTGGTTCAGTCCAAGCTGGGGATAAACAACATGGCGACTGCTTTAGAAAGAAGGTTGCAGTTTATTGAAGAGGAGAGCCAAACAGAAAGATGGTTCTAGCAGGAAAGAGGAAAGAAAAAGGGCTGAGCACATGTAGGGAGTGGGTTTTTATACCCTCTGGAGCCTTTTGTTCTGAGTTGTTTCCTGTTCCTGTGGCATGAACTTTGACCTAAGTCTGAGTGTGCTTTTCTGGTGTTCTGATGGTGATGGGTTAATCCTATTATGTCCCAAAGGTCATATCCTGCTTCCCTGGTGCTGGGGCTAATGACTCGTAGAGTTTGGCTGAGTTGTGCAGATTTTAGATGTCTTTGTCATCTTAATCTCCTAGCTTCAACCTTCCTGATGGTTTACATCTGCATTTCTATAGAGCTGGTTTCTGCTTGTGGGAGGGAGACTTGGGGCTATTAAGAAAAAACTGGGCATGCTTTTCTGCCTCTTCAAGATCCTTTGAGGAAATATATTTTCCTGCCCTTTTAATATTTCCTTCTCTGGGGAGCTGATTTCCCACAGTACAATAAGTGATGATACTACCTAGACAGGAAAAATAAAATTCTGGAGTTGGTTCTGGATTCACCATCTCAGCAGATTCTTGAGACGCTCTCACAGAGAAGAGGGACTCAATAGTACCAAGGGCAGGGCGAGAAGTAACAAGTGGAAACTTATCAAAGAGAGACTCAACCTAGAAACAGAGAGAAATTTCCTGTCAGTCAGAACACTTAATCAGTGGAACAATCTGCCTCCAGAAGCTGTGAATGCTCCAACACTGGAAGTTTTTAAGAAGAGACTGGACAACCGTTTGTTCGGGACGATATTCTCAGGAGGCAGGGGGTTGGATGAGAAGATGTATGTTGGTCATTAAATAAATCATGTGGTCCTAATCACATGGCTGCAGGATGCTGCAACCAGTTGTAAATGTGAGCTGGTTGCCAAGTGCCCAAATTGCGATGACATGACCACACGGGGTGGTGTGATGGTCACCACTGCAAGGACTAAGTTACTTTTTGCAAGGCTGTCATGAATGAACCATGGTTAAATGAATGGTCTTATGCCCCAGGACTACTTGTGATGCAAACTACTTTTGATATCACAGGGTTGTTGATGTGGGGAAAATAGGAGAAGGAAGGACTGTTAGATATGTTCGCCGCCTTGAGTTATTGGTAAAAATAATAAAAGTGGGATATAAATAAAATAATATAAAATAAAATAAAATAATAAAATAAAATAAATAATAATAATAAAATAAAATAATTAAAATAAAATAAAATAATAAAATAAAATTAATAATAATAAAATAAAATAATTAAAATAAAATAAAATAACAAAATAAAAACGAACCACAGAGCTGAGGGACAAGCAATGCTGGTGCCTACTAAACTATAGAAAGGGAAATTGCAAAGTTGATCCAAATCCTTTCGTGTTCTCTTTTCCTTCAATCTTCAGTTCGCAACCGCGGAAAAGTACGACATTTCAGAATCTTCTTGAATCCCGCCGGAAGTTTTTACTTGGAAAAAGCTCATGTTTTCTCGAGTCTGGAAGAGCTCCTTGCTTATTACAAAGCCAACTGGAATATCATTGAGTGCCCCTTATCTCAGCCCTGCGTCCAGAAGGTGAGTGGAAGAACATGTCACCACCGTGTGATTTTCTCCATCCCTGACAAACTTCCAGGAGCTGGGTGTGCGGCTTTTATTGGGGCGTGGGTGGAGTGTTTGTTTTTGCTTTGCCTTTAGATCTGCTTCAGGTTTTTCTTTTGAAATGTTCTTTTTTTCTCAAAAGTCAAGCAGTTCATTTTAGTCGCCCCCCTTCCATAGTAAACTATTTACAGGATCCAATCTGAGTCGGTCACTGGAACCAAAAGTTTATTCTTCCAAGTGTTTGGGCTCATGCTGGAGCCCATTCTCAGGGAATTCTCTCTCTCCAGAATGTGTCACAGATTTGATCCATGCTGGAACATACCTTCATTCGTGAAAACTATTTATAGCTCAATCTTACCGGTGTGCTATGCAGCAGCCAAAAAAGCTAATACAATCCTTGGTTGTATAAACAGAGGCATAGAAGCAAAATCATGTGAAGTGTTAGTCCCGCTTTATAAATCCTTAGTAAGACCACACCAGGAATATTGCATCCAGCTTTGGTCACCACATTACAAAAAAAAGATGTTGAGACTTTGGGAAAAGTGCAGAGAAGAGCAATTAAGATAATTAAAGGACTGGAGACAAAAACATATGAAGAACAGCTGCAGGAATTGGTTATGGCCAATCTAGAGAAAAGTAGGACCAGAGGGGACATGATAGCAGTATTCCAGTATTTGAGAGGTTGCCACAAAGAAGAGGAGGGTCAACTTATTTTCCAAAGCACCAGAGGGCAGGAGAAGAAACAAGGGATGGAAACTGATCAAGGAGAGAAGCAACTTGGAATTCAGGACAAACTTCCTAACAGTGAGGACAATCAACCAGTGGAACAACTTGCCTTCAGACATTGTGGGTGCTTCACCACTGGAGGTTTTTAAGAAGAGACTGGGCAGCCACTTGTCCGAAATGCAGTGGTGGGATTCAGCCGGTTTGCACCGGTTCAGCAGAACTGGTAGCTAAATTTTGTTGAGTTCGGAGAACCGGTTGAATGCACACTGCTTCCAGAAGTCCATTCTAGGCTTCAGAGGCCTGGAGGAGACCTCCCAGGCCTAAAAGGGCCTGCCGGAAGTGCGTGGATGCCACTTCCAAAAGTCCATTCTAGGCCTCGGAGGCCTGGAGGAAGTCTCCCAGGCCTAGAAGGGCCCGCCGGAAGTGCGTGGATGCCACTTCCGGAAGTCTATTCTAGGCTTTGGAGGCCCAGGCCTGCATCCATGCAGAGAACCAATTGTTCTGGTATTTGAATCCCAACACTGGCGAAATAGTATAGGGTCTCCTGGATTGACTAGAACAGGTCCCCAACCTTTTGGGCACCAGGGACCGGTTCCATGAAGAGAGGTTTTTCCGTGGACCGGACGGTGCGTGGTTTTGTGTGCTGCCTGCATCCCGCAGATGGGGCTTTGCTTGTTTGTGTGGACCAGTTGCTGGCATGCCGTAGCCTGGTACTGGTCCACAGACCGGGGGTTGGGGACCCCTGGTCTATAAGACCCCAAGGGCCCCTTCCAGCTCTATTCTGATTGATTGATTCATATCAGATTGCCTGTGATCTCAAACCTTTTGAAATCAAGACATTTCTAGATTCTGAGCATCCCTAATTACGGATTTTAAGAACAACCTCCATCTTTCTGGCATTGTGGTCATTTATCTTCTCTTACACCGAACTACTACACGTAAATATCCAAGCAGAATCTTTTTGTCTGTTGTATCTTTGTGAAATTGTCTTCCTCTCATCCTTAGCTCAGGAATGAGACTTGCTGAACTTGTTCTTAACTTGACAATAGTCCTCGAATTATGACAACAGTTAAGCCCGGAATTATGATTTTATGTCATTGCTGTCATTCTGGGTCACTATATGACCCTGCCTGATTTTATGACCTTTCTTGCAGTTGTCATTAAATGAACACTGCAGTTGTTAAGCGAATTTATTTTATCTACTGGATGCTTTTGCTGGAAATCAGAGGGAAATGGCAAAAAAACATTGAAAATTTTGGTCACGTCACCATGGGATGCTGCAAACAGCCATAAATGCAAGCCAGTTGCCAAGCACAGGTAGTCCTGGATTTACGACCACAATTGAGCCCAAAATTTATGTTGCTACGTGAGTCAATTGTTAAATGAATTTTGCCCCCTTTTTACAACCTGTCTTACCACAATAGTTAAGTGAATTACTGCAATTGTGAAGCTAGTAACACGGTTGTTGAGTGAGTCTGGTATCCCCCGTTGACTTTGCTTGTCAGAAAGTAACAAAAAGGGATCACATGACCCCGGGACACTGTGACCGTCATAAATATGAGTCAGTTGCCAAGTGTCTGCATTTTGGTCACCTAGCTATGGGGATGCTGCAATACTCGTAAGTCTGAAAAATGGTCGTAAGTCACGTTTTTCACTGCTGTTGTAACTTTGAACAGTCACTAAATGAACTCTTGTACGTCGAGGAAGGCCTGCGTCTTATTATCAATGGACAGAATTTGAAGAACATGTTCCACAGGACCACAAGAGTTTTCCTTGCACCATGAGTAGAAGCTGACTGATGGGAGGTTCAAAAGCAATTTATGATGGAGTCAAGTTGAAATGCAGTCTCCTTTGGTCTAGTGCAGGGGGTAGGCAACCTTGGCTCTTTTATGACTCGTGGACTTCAACTCCCAGAATTCCTGAGGGGAAAGGGAGAGGTTTCCATGCTGAGCCATGTTGGCTCAGGAATTCTGGGAGTTGAAGTCCACGAGTCATAAAAGAGCCAAGGTTGCCTACTCCTGGTCTAATGTTTAAGGCACCAAGCTCCTTGTCCCAAGGGTGCTTTTTCAGGAAGCAACTGGACTTTCTTGTTTTTCTTTGAAGACGTTTTGTTTCTCATTCAAGAAGCCTTTTCAGCTCTGCCTGGATGGTGGGGAATGGAAGGATTTATACTCCTTGCAGACAGCTGGTCATTTGCATCCTTTAAAGAGAGTCGTTGAGGCCACCTGGAGATTTGTCTGTGTCCTCAGGGTCACCTGAGTGGTGCAAATGGGTGTGGAGCCTTCTTAGAGCTGCTGAAAGGACTGTGTAGTAGACTGTAAATAGATGATATCATATCCCGCCCCCTCTGTTGAGAGAGGGCTGTTCAGTTTTGACATGGATGCCCTCTTTGACCCCGCTTTCAAACCAGCGGTCCTCTCTGTCCAGAATGTGGACTTTTGAAAAGGCACTTTTGGGACAGTCATGACCTGGATGACTGAGAATCTCCAAGGACCCAAGTTTCTTGATTGTCCACAATATTCTCAAGAGTCTTCTCCAAAGTTCAAAAGCGTCAATACTCTGCTGCTTCTTCACAGTCCAACTTTAATTTCCATAGAGTGTCACAAGGAACAGCATGGCTTCCACGGTTTTGATATTTACAGCTGTAGGCCCAACACAACATCTGAACATCTTTTCCAAGGCCTTCTTGGCTGCTCTTCCAAGTGCTAATCTGCAGCTTATTTCTTGTTCCCTTCTTCCTTGACTGTTGATGGTTATTCCTTAAAAGGCCAGAAGCTTTCCACTACTAGGAAATGCCAAGGTTTGTAAAGTAGACCGGAAAAATAAAACAATACTTAATTGGAGTTAATGATCTCAGTGGTCCTGCAATCTTCTTGTTCAAGATTTCTTTAATCCTTCCTCTATCCAGGCCTGGCCTGTTTTGGTCACCACAACATAAAAAAAATGTTGAGACTCTGAAAAGAATACAGAGAAAAGCAACAAAGATAAGTAGAGGTCTGGAGGCTAAAACATATGAAGAACAGTTGCAGGAATTGGGTATATCCAGTTTAATGAAAAGGGGGACTAAGGGTGTCATGATAGCAGTGTTCCAATATCTGAGGGGCTGCTACAAGGAATAGGGGGTCAACCTATTTTCCAAAGCACCAGAAGGCAGGACAAGAAGCAACGGATGGAAACTAATCAAGGAGAGAACTAACTGGAATTAAGCAGAAATTTCCAAACAGTTAGAACAATTAATCAGTGGAACACACCTGCCTCCAGAAGTTGTGGGTGCTCCAACACTGGAGATTTTTAAGAGGAGATTGGACAACCATTTATCTGAAATGATATAGTTTCCTACTTGAGCAGAGGGTTGGAGTAGAAGATCTCTAAGTAATAATAATAATAATAATAATAATAATAATAATAATAATAATAATAATAATAATAATAATGTTGGAAGTGACCTTGGAGGTCATCTAGTCCAACCCCCTGCTCAGGCAGGAAACCCTACACCATTTCAGACAAATGTCTGTCCAGTCTCTTCTTAAAAACTTCCAGTGTTGGAGCATTCACCGCTTCTGGAGGCAGGTTGTTCCACTGTTAATTGTTCTAACTGTCAGGAAGATTCTCCTTAGTTCTAAGATGCTTCTCTCCTTGATCAGTTTCCACCCGTTGCTTCTTGTCCTGCCTTCAAGCACTTTGGAGAAGAGCTTGACTCCCTCTTCTTTGTGGCAGCCCCTGAGATATTGGAACACTGCTATCATGGCCCCCCTCGTCCTTCTCTTCATTAAACTAGACATACCCAATTCCAGCAGCCATTCCTTATATGTTTTAGCCTCCAGTCCCCTAATCATCTTTGTTGCTCTTCTCTGTACTCTTTCTAGAGTCTCAACATCTTTTTTTACATCGTGGTGACCAAAACTGGATGCAGTATTCCAAGTGTGGCCTTACCAAGGCATTGTAAAGTGGTATTAATACTTCACGTTTCTCTCTAATCTTACCCCTTCTACAGAAGCCTTCTGAGATGGATCAGTGGGAACGTCCCCGGTCTGAATTCCAGCTTTGGAGAAAGATGGGCGAAGGATGTTTTGGAGAAGTTTGGGAAGGAATGTGGAAGAATACAGTGCCTGTGGCCATCAAAATTATGAAACAAGGTTTGTAGAGTGCAGAACCTATCCTCTCTTGCGCAATGTCTTGTCTGCCTGTTTCTTAAGAGGTGGATTAGTCAATCCTCCATGAGTAGACCAGAGGTGAACAATGGGGTCCGAGTTTGAATCCACCAGCTGAACAAGGAAATGAGAATGACTTCCCCCAGCTGGAAAATAGATGGAGAAATGATAAGCCATGATAGTAGGAGAACAATAGAACAAGCACTGCGATGCCACAATGCAAACACCACCCTAATATCCTTGTGTCCCGCTGCCTGTTGCAAGCACATAGTCACAGGATTGGCATCACAAAATTCTGGCACCATTGTTGACCTTTAATTGTCTTGCACCTCCCTAAGGACACTGCTGTTATCAGAAGTAATGGAGTAATGATAACAGTTGTTCCCATAGAAATTAATCCAAATGGTTATTAATAAACTAGGTCAGTTGATCTCTCGGGTGATTCTATCCTCACAAAGGAAAAGACACGTGGAAGGGAGCAAAGTTCAGGTTAATGCTAAATACATTTTTTTATTTGAAAAGTCCTACGTTCGTTAATCTGATACTCGGTGATATTCTGCACCTAGTCAGTTTGCAGATTTCTGGATCCTGCAAAGCCATGTTCCAAGTCCAGGATGAACTAACCAAGCTGGACAGAAACTTCTTCCAGTTCTCGTTCAATCTGATGAAAGAAAATGTCCATTGGAATAAAGATTAGATTAGATTAGATTAGATTAGATTAGATTAGATTAGATTAGATTAGATTAGATTAGATTAGATTAGATTAGATTAGATTAACAACAAAGATGATTAGGGGACTGGAGGCTAAAGCATATAAGGAACGGTTGCTGGAATTGGGTATGTCTAGTTTAATGAAGAGAAGGACGAGAGGGGACCTGATAGCAGTCTTCCAGTATCTCAGGGGCTGCCCCAAAGAAGAGGGAGTCAAGCTATTCTCCAAGGCGCCTGAGGGCAGGACAAGAAGCAACGGATGGAAACTGATCAAGAAGAGAAGCAACCTAGAACTAAGGAGAAACTTCCTGACAGAACAATTAACCAGTGGAACAACCTGCCTCCAGAAGCAGTGAATGCTCCAACCCTGGAAGTTTTTAAGAAGAAACTGGACAGCCATTTGTCTGAAATGGTATAGGGTTTCCTGCCTGAGCAGGGGGTTGGACTAGATGACCTCCAAGGTCCCTTCCAACTTTACCATTATTATTATTATTATTAGATTAGATTAGATTAGATTAGATTAGATTAGATTAGATTAGATTAGATTAGCATAAGGACTCCTATCTTGAGCAGGTGGTTGGACTAGACTAGAGGACCTCCAAGGTCCCTTCCACCCCTATGATTTTATGATCCTAGGAGTTTTGTTTGGTTTTTTTCAAAAAACAAACCAAGTTTGGAGAAATCTTCCTAGGCAGAACATCCTTTTATTTAGTGCTTCTAGCAAACGTTCTAATTTTTACCGCAAAAGTTTTCTACCATGCTCCCCAGCCTTCAGTTAAAATTCCAATGGAAGATAACTGGGGCTTTCTCCAGATCAGTTTGCAAAATCACCACTCCCTGGGAATTTATTCATTTATTGTATTTATTAGTCAAATTTATGCAGCCACCGCTATAACCCGAGGCACCTCTCGGAAGTGGACCACAAACAGGTAAAATCCCATATAATAAAAAAGCACAGATATTTTTAAAAGCACCTTGAATTGGACCTAGAAGCAAAGTGACAACTGAAGGAGCTTGGGGAGCAGCTCCAAGCTAGGAATTCTAGGAATGTGTTCTAGGAATGCACCTAGCCGCCTGCTCTATTGCATGCTGTACCAGCTGAGGCTTCCAGATACTCTTCAAGGGCAGCCCTATGCAGAGTGCATTGCAGTAGTCAATCTGGAGGTGACTAGGGGATGAATGCCTGTGAGCAGGGCCTGCCAATTCAGGAATCCATGGCTTGAGAAACTGTAGGCCAGTGGTGGCGAACCTATGGCACGCGTGCCAGAGGGGGCACTCGGAGCCCTCTCTGTGGGCACGCGCGCCTGGCTCTTTGGCTACGTTTTTGCATGAAAAAAGCCATTTCTCAAGCCCCTTCCTAGTGAAAACAAGCCTCCAGAGCGAGCGGGCTGTTTTCAGCTTTGAATTATATCAAATCTGACACCAGAAACAGACTAACAGATGACCTGAGTGCTGCATGTGTTGCTTTCAAACTTACAAAGTATAAGCCAAGGTTAGACAAATTATCAGCATGCATACAACAGCAAAAATCACATTAATGGTTCAAAAGCATGCCAGATGCAAACTTTTTACCTTTCAGTAAAAAGTTGTTTGTATCATTGAAAGCTTTGTTCTTGTGTTTTCCTTTTAAAACAAAAGATGTTAATGTGCGAGTTGTTTTTTCTAAACGAAAACCTCAGTATTCAGATTAAATTGCCGTGTTGGCACTTTGAGATAAATAAGTGGGTTTTGGGTTGCAGTTTGGGCACTCGGTCTCTAAAAGGTTCACCATCACTGCTGTAGGCGAATCTACAGTACTTATTCCACACACACACCCTGCCTTTGGAGAAATTAGTAGAATTATCCATCCAGTTTTTCTGCCTGTAAATTTGAAGAGGTTTGGAAAGGATATTAATGATGACTGAACAGCCTAATTACATTTACGATCATCGTGGTAGCAATACTAGAACATTGTGTTATTCATCTCTGTTGTCAATATAACCATCCAGGAAAGTTTAGCAAGGTGGACAAGCAAATGAGCAAAGCAAGGAGGCCTTCAAAAGTCTAAATTTACAAGATGCCCCCATCACACAAGCTCTTCACCCCAAGTTGGAAGGTGATAAGACAGGAGTCTCAGCCATGTTTGAACCCAAAGTTCTCTTCTTTAATCTTGAAGAGTGCTTGGAGAAAACATCTAGAGCCATGTTTATAGAGGGATAGAATCAAGATAACAAGAAGTGTTAGTACCACTTGATAATGCCTTGGTAAGACCACACTTGCATCCAGTTTTGGTCACCACAGTATAAAAAAGATGTTGAGATTCTAGAAAGAGTGCCGAGAAGAGCAACAAAGATGATCAGGGGACTGGAGCTAAAACGTATGAAGAATGGATGCAGGAACTCAGTATGTCTAATTCAGGGGTAGGCAACCTGGGGTCTTTTAAGACTCACGGACTTCAACTCCCAGAATTCCTGAGCCAGCCATGCTGAGGGGAAAGGGAGAGGTTTCCATGCTGAGCCATGCTGGCTCAGGAATTCTGGGAGTTGAAGTCCACGAGCCAAGATTGCCTACCCCTGGTCTAGTTTAATGAAAAGAAGGACTAGGAGTGACATGATAGTAGTGTTTCAATATCTCAGGAGCTGCTACAAAGAAGAGGGAGTCATGCTATTCTCCAAAGCACCAGAAGGCAGGACAAGAAGCAACAGATGGAAACTAATCAAGGAGAGAACCAACCTAGAACTAAGGAGAAATTTCCTGACATTGAGAACGATCAGTGGAATGACTTGCCTCCAGAAGCTGTGAATGCTCCAACACTGGAGTTTTTAAAGAAGAGATTAGACAACCATTTTCCTGAAATGTTATAGGGTTTCCTGCTTGAGCAGTGGGTTGGACTAGAAGACCTCCAAGGTCTCTTCCAACTCTGTAATTCTGTTTCCCAGCCTTGGGCATTTCCAGGTAAGTAGACTTCAACTCCCAGAATTCTCATCAATGATCCTGCTGGCTGTGGAATTCTGGGAGTTGAAGTCCACTCTCCTAGAAATGCCCAAGGTGGAGAAAACATGACCTAGGGAACCTTGGTCATGTTGGTCAAGGTGGGGAACCTTGGCTCTTTTATGGCTTGTGGACTTCAACTCCCAGAATTCCTGAGACAGCGTGGGGGTTGAATTCCACAAGTCCTTAAAGAGCCAAGGTTCCCCACCCCTGACCTAGGGCTTCCAGATGTGCTGGAATGAGAGAACAAGTCCAGACGTCCGCGCAAGCAATCCATCCTGCAAATGTGTTTCATCTCCTTCACAGCTGACATGAGGGACGACTTCGTCAAGGAGATCCGGAACTTGAAAAGTCTGAAACACACAAGACTCATCAAACTTCTGGCGGTCTGTTCGATGGGGGAGCCAGTTTATATCGTCACAGAGTTGATGCGGAAGGGCAATCTCCATAGTTACCTCAACAGTGAGTATTGATCTGAGGTTCCAGACCCAATCTTCCTGCAGAACTGTGGTGGGCCAGTCCAATGTCAAAATGGTGGTCATGACAAATTACTAAAATCCAGCATAATGTACATTCTTCTGACATTTGGACTATAGGTCGTCCTCCACTTATGACCACAACTGAGTCCAAAATTCAGTCACTAAATGAATGGTTGTAAGTCACATGACATTGTGGGGCTTCGACCTTGTGGCTGTGGCTACCCCCTTGGTCTTTATGACTCCACCTCATGGGTGCCGTTCATACACACACACATCCTTACAAGTAGTCCTCACCTTACGTCCACAGCTGAACCAAAAATTTATGTTGGGTAAGCGAGACGATTGTTAAGTGAGCTTTGCTCCATTTTACAACCTTTCTTGCCACAGTTGTTAAGTGAATCACTGCAGTTGTCAAGTCAGGAACACGGCTGTTAAGTAAATCTGGCTTCCCCATTGACTTTGCTTGTCAGGAGGTTGCAAAAGGGGATCGCGTGACTCCGGGACGCCACAACCGTCATAAATATGAACCAGTTGCCAAGCATCTGAATTTTGATTACGTGATGCTGCAGCAGTTGTAAATGTGAAAAGGGGTCATGTCACTTTTTTTAGTGCCATAGTAAGTTTGAACGGTCACTAAATGAACTGTTGCAACTTGAAGACTATCTGTAATAGTCTTCTGCTGAGAGAGAGAGAGAAAGAAAGAGAGAAAGAAAAAGAGAGAAAGAGAAAGAAAGAGAGAAAGAGAGAGACAAAGAGAAAGAGAGAGAAAGAGAGAGAGAGAAAGAGAGAGGCCTTGCATGATTTGCTAAGGACTATACCACTAGTTGCAAAATCACCGAAGAACTGGTTCCTCCTCAGACACAATTTATAAATCCCCCTGGGAAAATCGCTCTCTATTTCTTCCCCAAATTTCATCTGAGGCAGCTCCAATTTAAGCCGAAACTGACGAATTCCCAATGCCGTTTCGCCATGCCCAACATGCAACCCTTTTCTATGGAGATTCTCCTCAGCGGAGAAACCTTTTGCCCAAGGAAGCCAGTTTGGCTGCTTCCCATGAGAAGTTTCCTGTGTTGAAGGACTTGACCTCCTTTCCAGATCTGGTTTGTTACCTCAGATGGGGCAACTCCCTAGAAGAACGAGTCTGGAGCCAACATTCTCGGTCTCCAAGTGCCTAAACACTCTTTTGCCTGCTAATGAGTTTATTTCTTGCATCATCCCAGAGCAGGATAGCTTCGCACGGTGGTGCGTTGTGTTTACAGAGTGTAATCTGATCTCATTGTCCTTCTGAGGCTCAGCCTTTCCATGCACAGAGATGGAACCACCATCAAACTGGTTTTCTTCTGAGGGCTGGCAGTCAAAATTCCCACTCTGAGGGAATCCAGACCTTTGTGGGATGTGCCAGTCAAACCCAGGGGTCAATCCTGTGAGAATTATTACGGCTGGATTTAATAAAGAAAGCAAATGCCACCCAACTGCCAAAATGTGTGGAAAGAAGCTTAGAAGTGGGCAGTTAAGGTTTTACTTCAAAATTCAGCTGCTAATCCAGAAGTCAGACTCGTGGGTTTAAATTTACTTCAGGTAATATTCTGAGGTAAAATTACCTAGAAAGAATTGGATTGGGCTTAAGCATAGGTGCTAGAGAATTCCCCCCAAATTTGGTCCACGGTGTTGTTGTAAAAGAATCTCAAAACATACCAGCAGATTGTCTGGGTTTTTTTTATTTCTTTTATCTAATTTCTGACACAACACTGCCCTCTCCTGCACACAGAGAAGCATAGTCGTTGACTTATGCCCACAACTGAGCTCAAAATGTCTGGTGTTGTGGAGTTTTGCCCCATTTTACGACTTTTCTGGCCACTGTTGTTAAGTGAATCCCTGCAGTTGTTAAGTTAGGAACATGGTCATTAAGCGAATCTGGCTTCCTCATTGACCGTGGGGTTGGTGCAAAGGTCTTCAAACATAGCAACTTTAAGACTTGTGGACTTCAACTCCCAGAATTCCTCAGCCAGCCCTGGCTGGCTGAGGAATTCTGGGAGTTGAAGTCCACAAAATCTTAAAGTTGCCAAGTTTGAAGACCCCAGGATTGGTGCAATGGTTGCTACAAAAACAGTCATATGTCACTTTTTCAGTGTCACTGTAACTTCAGACGGTCACTAAATGAGGAGCTGTAAGCCGAGGACTATCTGAAATTCTGGGACCAGAATTTCCATTGCTAAACAGGGCAGTTATTAAGCCAATGGCAGCCGATTTTACAATCTTTTTTTTTTTTTGCTAACTTTGTAAGCGAATCACTGCAGTTGTTGTTAAGGGAATCAGGCTGTCATTAAGTGAATTTCCCCATCGACTTTGCTTGTTGGGAAGCCAGATGGGAAGTCGCAAAATGACAACCATGTGACCCGACAATACGGCAACTGGGGTCACGCGAGCGTCATAAATGCATCCCGGTGGCCCAAGCGCCTGACTTTTGATCACGTGACTGTGGGGAATGATGTGATGGTCATAAATGCGAGGACTGGTTGCAAGTCACTTTTTTTTCAGTGCCGTTGTAACTTTGGATGGTTGCTAAACGAATGGTTGTAAATAGAGGATTACCTGTAAGTACATAAATGCATTCCAGCAAAGGATCAATAGCACTTAGACTTATATACCACTTCACGGGAGAGGTTTAGAGAGTCCACCTGCTGCCCCCCACAATCCAGCCAGTGGTGGGATTCAAATATATGAACAACGGCTCTCTGTGTGGATGCCGCTTCCAGAAGTCCGTTCTGGGCCTGGGCAACAAAACATTAGCTACCGGTTCTGCCGAAGTGGTGCGAACCGGCTGAATACCACCACTGAATCCGGCTCTTCATTTTATTGACCTCAGAAGGATGGAAGGCTGAGTTAACTTGAAGCTGGTTAGGATCGAACTGCTGGCAGTGGGCAGAGTCAGCCTGCAATCCCATGTTCTAGCCACCACGGTGCCTTGTTGATTTTTCAGGTGCTGCGGGAAAGGAATTGACCACACACCACCTCCTCAGTATCTCTTGCCAGGTGGCTGACGGGATGACCTATCTGGAGGAAAAACATATCGTCCATCGAGATCTCGCAGCGAGGAACATCCTGGTGGGCGATGACCTGGCTTGCAAAATAGCTGACTTCGGCCTTGCCAGGCTCCTCAAGGTGCGTCCGAGGAAGTTTTAACACCCTCCCTACAGCTAAGCCCAATCAGAATAGAGCTGGAAGGGACCCTGGAGGTCTTCTAGTCCAACCCCTTCTCAAGCAGGAGACCCTACACCATCTCAGACAAGTGGCTGTCCAGGCTCTTCTTAAAAACCTCCAGTGATGGAGCACCCACAATTTCTGGAGGGAAGCCGTTCCACTGATTGATTGTTCTCACTTCAAGACATTTCTCCTTATTTCTAGGTTGATTCTCACCTTGATTAGTTTCCATCCGTTGTTTCTTGTCTTCCCTACAGGTGCTTTGGAAAATAAGTTGAAACCCCCCACCACTCCTCTTTGTGGCAGCCTGTCAAATACTGGAATACTGCTATCATGTCCCCACCCCCCATTTCTTCTTTTCTCTAGACTAGCCATAGCCAGTTCCTGAAGTCGTTCTTCATGTTTTAGTCCCCAAGCCCTTAGTCATCCTAGTTCAGGGGTAGGCAACCTTGGCTCTTTTATGACTCACCGACTTCAACTCCCAGAATTCCTGAGCCAGCCATGGCTCAGCTTGGAAACCTCTCCCTTTCCCCTCAAGATGGCTGGCTCAGGAATTCTGGGAGTTGAAATCCACGAGTCATAAAAGAGCCAAGGTTGCCTACTCCTGTCCTAGTTGCTCTTCTCTGCACTTTCTCCAAAAAGTGGGACAGATCCCAGATCTGTCCATCCAACATTTATGTTCCTTTTGTTGACTCCAAAAACATAAATGTCTGAAAGAGCCCTCTTAAAAGCCGACATACCAGCCATCCTCTTAGCATGCCTGGGACTATCTTCACAGCCAGCAAAATCGATGGGGGAAACTGGATTTACTTAACAACCACACGATCCACTTAGCAACTACTGTGATTTGCTTAAATGTCATGTCAAAAAGGTCGTAGGATCAGGCACGACTCACTTAATAACTATCTTGCTTAGCAATGGAAATTCGGGTCCCAGTGGTAGTCATAAGTCAAGGACTGCCTATACGCCAACTTATCTGGAGCAAATATAGAACCAACAAACAAAATAGAAAACAAACAAAGATAGGGGAGATGGGTGGCAGATCCAACTCTCGCTTCTCCAGAGTTAGGTTCTTAACTCTCAGACAAAACCCACAAATAGCATTTGATGTCCTCCAGATGTGTTGAGGGGATTTCTTTAGTAGCACATCTGGAGGGTACCAAAAGGGACGAAGCAGTCCTACAAAGATGGACCTGACAGGTATGTATGATGGACAGTTGCAGGAACTGGGTAGGTCTAATCTAATGAAGAGAAGGTCTAGGGACAGCAGTTGTCCCCCTCTCTGAGGGGCTGCCACAAAGAAGAGGGGGACAACCTATTCTTGAAAGCATCTGAGGCCAAGACACGGAGTAATAGATGGAAATTTATGAAGGAGAGATCCAACCTAGAACTAAGAAGATAGTGAAAAAATGTAATCTGTCATGGTTCCGACAGATGAAACTCTTCAAAGAACTTCGAGACATTGTTTACCTTAAAGAATCTTTATTTGAGCAACATAGCATCGGCACATACATAAGCGCAGCCAAAATCTGGATTCCCCTCCCCTGAGCACATAGTGTCAAACACAATTCCCTCCTCTAATTAACTGTCATAAATCACATTCTCCAATTAGTTTGAAATGCAGACTTTCCCTCCTGTTCTCCAACCCGCCATTTCTTATCATCTCTTATTTCAAAAGCCCTGAGTTCACACACTATTACAATATTGTTATGTCTAACTAACTCCCATCACATTCCTCCCCCTCCCCCAGCATCATCTAATTCTAAGAGTAAAGCATAAGAAAGAAAAAGGCTGCATCTCCATATGTTGTCAAAGCAAGAACATCCGATGTTAGCAACGTTGACATAATCAGTGGAACGACTTGCCTCCAGAGGTTGTGGGTGCTTCATCACTGGAAGTTTTCAAGAAGCGACTGGACAGCCATTTATCCAGAATGGTATAAGGCAGTGGTGGCGAACCTATGGCATGGGTGCCAGAGGCAGCACTCAGAGTCCTCTCTGTGGGCACACGTGCTGTTGCCCCAGCCTTGCCTCCCCCGCGACCCCCTCCTCTCCAGCAGCCCCCCCTGAAGGAGAGTCGCCCTCGAGCATGGCCCATACGGAGCAGCGCAGCCAAGGACATGGCAGCCAGGCAGCGTAGACAAGACTCTGCCCTCACGCCCCATCATGCAGTTGATGCTGCAGGGCGCGGGCAGAGGGTGTGGCCGCCATAGTGCTGCTGGGCTGCTTGGGCGATCTGTGGCGGGCCGTGGAGGCGGTGAGTGGTCCTCTGGGCAGGGGGGGCGGGGAATGGGGGGGCAGAGTGGGGGTGGGGCAGGAGGGTGGAATGGGGGCGGGGCCAGTTTTTGGGCACTCAGTCTCTAAAAGGTTCGCCATCACTGGTATAAGGTCTCTTGAGCAAGGAGTTGGACTAGAAGACCCCCCCCAACTCTGTTATTCTGTATTCTACTCTGAACAAGCCAGTTTTAGCTTCTCTTTCTTGAGTCTCCAGGTGAAAGCACCTTCCTTGCTTTTGGCTGAGGACCTGTTCTTGGTTTTCTTTCAAGGATGACATTTACTCCACCACCAGTAATGCTATGATCCCGGTGAAATGGACAGCCCCGGAAGCCGCCATCTACCAGACGTACTCCCCTAAATCGGATGTTTGGTCCTACGGGATCCTGCTCTACGAGGTTTTTAGCTACGGACAGTGCCCCTATGATGGTAGGTAATGATCATGACGGAGGAATGCCATTGGGAGGGCAGGGGGCCTCTCTCTCCCCCATCTTTCTTTTCCTCATAGACACACACTGTCATGGTTCCGACAGATGAAACTCTTCAAAGAACTTTTAGGCATTGTTTACCTTAAAGAATCTTTATTCGAGCAGCATAGCTTCGGCAGTACACAGTCGAAGCCAAAATCTGACTTCCCCTCTCCTCAGCACATAGTATCAAAGCACAATTCCCTCCTACAACTAACCGTCATAAATCACATGCTCCAATTAGTTTGAAATGCTGGCTTTCTGCCCAGTTCTTCATCCTGCCATGCCTTATCATGTCTTATTACCATATTGTATGTCTAACTAACTCCCATCACATTCCTCCCCCTCCCCGAGCATCATCTAATTCTAAGAGTAAAGAATAAGAAAGAAAAAGGCTGCATCTCCATATGTTGTCAAAGCATGAACATCCAATGTTAGCAGCATTGACACGGACTTTGTAATATGGCCAATCATACTGGAGATATGTTCTCTCCTAGGCCAGGCCTGACCATCTTTCCTTTTCTCAGAACATCCCAAGCAAATATTTCCAATTTCAGAAGGTCTAATATGGAGTGTTGGGGTTAAGCCAACACTCCAGCTAGAAACGAGAAACTGGAGCCCACAGCCGCTTTTGAGAGATTTGGGGTGTGGGAGATCATCCAGAAGGGTTTGGTCACCCTTACATTGGTGAGGAACCCCCATCTCTGTGTTAAGGAGAGTCCTCCATTACCTGTCCCATCTCTCTGGACTTTGTGAACCTGACCGTCTCTGTCTGTCTTCTTCTAGGGATGAGCAACCAAGAGACCATCCAGCAGATCAGTCGGGGCTACCGTCTCCCTCGTCCCAACAGTTGCTCCCCTGAGATTTATAGCATCATGCTCGAATGCTGGAAGACCCACCCTGAAGACCGGCCAAGTTTTCTCAACTTGAGAGATGCGCTCTTTTCGATTTACAAATGGGCGCGTCACCCGATCTCCTGAAGCGGAGGCACCTTCTGTGTCTTCTGCACCAACCGGCGGCCCTTCGTGCTCGTCCTGCAGACCCTCCAGCTCAGATTCTCTTGAGCCTGCAGGAACATTTGTGCCTTTGAAGGTGGACTATTTGAGCTCTTCAACCTCAGCAGGTGGAGCGGAGGTGGAGTTATGGGTTCTACCTGTCCAAAAATAGCTCACGATAAAGAGATACTTTACAGCCAAGAGGTCACCGTGGAGAGAAACAGAACTGCAGCATTTCCTTTCCCCCGTGCAAGTTATGGACTCTTCTTGCTGTAGGCGCCCGATGGCTTTCTTTAGTCAATAAACATGAACAAATGTGTCGATCTGATTTCTTACGCCGTGCGTATTCCTGGGGCATCAATTAGCTGCAATTTGTTTGGTCAAAAATGGGTTGAAGAGGAACGGAATCCCACCCTGTGGGGAAAAAAAAGTCCCTGGAGAAAAAGAGTCCTAGCTTTATATGTTTGTGTCTATGTACGAGGATGGAATGGGACAACTCAATTGTGTGAGACAACTCGCCACAGCCAACTCACAAGGCAACTTGCTGTGGGACAATTCAACAATTCAATTTAGTTATTTAAAATCGTTTTAAAAAATATTTTAATTTATGTCACTCACGTTTCATTTTGTCCCTCCTTCCTTTAATGCATCCTTTCTTTAATGATTCTATTCCACTATTTCTTTGATATTAGCGTAACTCTTGTACCGCAGTGACTTGTCCGTGCCGAGGTTGGCAAGTTGGCCATGGTGAATTGCCATAGAACCGTATAAGAGAGAGAGAAGTCCTTTTTAATAATAACAATAACAATAACAATAACAACAACAACAACAACAACAACAACAATAATAATAATAATAATAATAATAATAATAATAATAATAATAATAATAATAATAATAATAATAAAAGTTGGAAATCATCTAGTCCAGGGGTAGGCAATCTGGGCTCTTTTACGACTCGTGGACTTCAACTCCCAGAATTCCTGAGCCAGCCATGCTGAGGGAAAGGGGAGGTTTCCAAGCTGAGCCATGTTGGCCCAGGAATTCTGGGAGTTGAAGTCCACAAGTCATAAAAGGGCCAAGGTTGCCTACCCCTGCTCTAGTCCAACCTCCTGCTCAGGCAGGAAACCCTATACCATTTCAGACAAATGGCTGTCCAGTCTCTTCTTAAAAACTACCAGTGTTGGAGCATTCACCGCTTCTGGAGGCAGGTTGTTCCACTGGTTAATTGTCCTAACTGTCAGGAAGTTTCTCCTTATATTCTAGGTTGCTTCTCTCCTTGATCAGTTTCCATCCGTTGCTTCTGGTCCTGCCTTCAGGCGCTTCCTCGTCCTCTTCCTCTGCCTTCTCTCCCCCTCCTTTTTCCCCCCTCTACCCTTTTCCAATACATTGGGCTAAAAGGACAGGTAGTCCTCAGGGTACGACCGTAATGGAGCCTGCCATAATAGTCGTAAAATTTCATGAGGTGTTTTGCGGTGGTCGTTAAGCGAACCAATGGTTCATTATGGGTGCGGTTTTGCTGAAAACCGGAAGCGTCGGTTTTCGGCAAAACTGTCATAAAGACGGCCACGTGAGCGTGGGATGCTGCAAATGGCAGCAAATGTGGCCGTATCGCCATGTGCCCGAAGTGCAGTCATGTGACCAAGGGGGTGGGGTGACTGTAGGAACTTTGGACTTGGGTCATAAGTCCCCTTTTTCAGGTAGGTTGTAACTTTGAACAGTCACTAAGCAAAGGGTTGTAAATTGAGGACAACCTCGAATGAGCTTTGACCTATGAATTTTAGGTTACATATTCAACCAGTTTCCTTCCTTCCATCTCTTCCTTCCCTCCCTCCCTCTCTCTCGTTCTTCCTTCCTTCCTTCTCCCCTTCCCTCCCTTCCCTATCTCTTTCCTTCCTTCATCCCTCCCTCCCTCTCCTTCCCTTTCCTTCCCCTTCCTTCCTTCCTTCCTTCCTTCTTCCTTCCTTCGTCTCTCCCTCCCTCCCTTCTCCTTCTTCCCTCCCTCCCTCCTCCTCCTTCCCACTCTTGCTTAATTTTTTTCAGATCAGCCAAAATGTTTTCAAATTTTAATGATCTCCCAGTCATATTTGCTCAAGATTATTCCCATGTTTAACAGCTCTTATCCTACTTCAAAGGATCTCTTTGATAAGGAATATTGATACTGAATGTATCAACTAATCAAGGAGAGAAGCAACCTAGAACTAAGGAGAAACTTCCTGACAGTGAGAACAATTAACCAGTGGAACAACCTGCCTCCAGAAGTTGTGGGTGCTCCAACACTGGAAGTTTTTAAGAAGAGACTGGACAGCCATTGGTCCGAAATGGTATAGGGTTTCCTGCTTAAGCAGGGGGTTGGACTAGATGACCTCCAAGGCCCCTTCCAACTTTATTATTACTATTATTATTATTATTGTTAATAATAATAATAATAATGTGAGGCAAAGATTAAAATATTTTTTTCTCTTGGACTAAAGCAGAACATAAATCATAAATGACAAGCTTCAGACAATTAGTCTGAACAGCTGAGAGAAGGGAAACCAGTAAAAAGATTATTCCTTCATAAAATATTAACCTGTCCTAAGTTTGCATCCATGGAAAAAAAGCAGACACTTTCGGAAAGTCACAGCTTCCTACCATAAAGTTTTTGCTTTTTCTAGAGGGGAAAGAAAAATCTAAAATGTTTCCTCTTTGTTTAGGTCTCCTCAACCAACTTTCTTAACTCGGCGCTTTGCCAATGAGTTGAGACTACATCTCCCAAAGTTCCCTAGTCAAAAAATGGACGGCTTGGATTCCTGGGAGTTGCAGTTCCAATACGTCTGGAAGATACCAAGTGCGAAAAGCTGGGGGAGGTATCAAGTTACACATTATTAGAGGGTCCCTGAATCTTAAAAATAAATAAATACGACCCACCCAAAAAAAAGATCCTTTCTTTCTGCACTGAATCGCATTCTCCGGATTGGCTGAAATTAGCCAAATGATTCCTGGCGTAAGCGCGAGCAAAACTGACTCCCGCCCGCCAGTCGCGCTCAGGTTAGGAGCGACCGCCCGCAGTCGAGGCGGACCCGAGAAACCTAATTTCCCTTCGGCCGCACCCATGATGCATTGCGCAGAGAGAAGGAACAATTCCGCCGTCATTTCTGCCATAGTTTTTTCACTATTTTTACATCCAAGCCTTACTTCGTTCACTTATTTAAATATTAATATGCTTATAATATAATTTATCTGTCTATCTGGATGGTCACCATAGTAGCATTAATAGTCATCGCTGCAGGGATCGGTCTCTCGAATAGAGGAAAAGCATACTCTGGTTTCTCTTCAGATCGTATAAATCTTTCGCCTTTTACTAAAGATTTCCGTGGAGAGGAACATTTATGAGTTTCGTAATAATTTTTTGAGGCCCTGCTTCGGTGGGGCTACATTTACACGGTTCAAAAAATAGAGGGTGTTTTATCTTGTTTTATTAATCGGGAATGCGTTTTGTATGAATGCGAAACGTGATGCCACCTATAGGAGCCTTGCTGTCATAACTTTCTTAAATTGCACGGCGATCTTAGGGCGACACTTCCGTGTTTCGTGTCTGGTGTGGAGTTTCCTATATCAGTGATAGCGAACCTTTTAGAGACCGAGTGCCCAAACTGCAGCCCCAAACCCACTTATTTATCGCCAGGTGCTGGGTGGGTGTGGTTGTGGTCATGGCAGATTGGGTGGGTGTGGCCAAGGTGGGCGTGATCACCTCAATGTTGCTCGTGGGGAGGGACGCCTGTGGGGGCAGGGCAGGGTTGGGGGAGATCCAGGGGGTCTCTGGCAAGTGGGGCAGTGGGCAGGAGGCTCGTCCTGCAGGGTGAGGCGAAGCAAGGTGAGGCAGGGCGGGGGTGCCATTGTCACAGGGCAAGGTGAGGCAGGGGCCTCGGGGTGGCTGCTGCCTGACACCATCGGCCCCCGCACACAGAGGCCAGCGAGCGCATGGGTGCTGGGATGCATCCGGGCATGTGGGGCCTCCAGGGCTGTGGAGTCGGTAGATAAATGTTCCGACTCCGACTCCGACTCCTCAGTTTTTTGTACTTCCGACTCCGACTCCTCTGTATTAATATGCGAATGCGTGCGTTGCGTGCCATATAGTGAAGCACATGAAAAGCATGCTTCTTCACGGTCACTTA